GTCTTTGCCTTGAAAATCAAGTATGGGACATATGATTTACTATGTTCCATAACTCGATTTTCAAGGCAAAAACCCCAAATAATTCAAAATATGCAATTTGTGCAATGCATAATGCATATGCAGTATAGACCAAATTATGCGCATATTATGCAGCATCATAATCTCAGACACTCTATATTAAGTATATTATAAGAATGCTATAAATAATATACATATTTATAATTAATACCAACAAATTAAGTTACAACTATCTACATCTAGTGCTAAGCTAAGCTGAATATCTAAGAATTTACTCCACAAATGAATAAAAATCTTTATATTATATAATTCTACATTATAATATCTTCAAAGCTATTATTTGCAACTTTGAATTTAATGAATTACTATATTTATATGAACAAAACCAGCTTTAATATGAATTATAAATACTACAAACTTGAGTAGCTTAATATAAATACACTAATGAATAATTTTATTATCACTAAATTTACATGAGTAAGATAGAATTAAAAGGTATAGTATTGAATTTAATTAGAAATTAATTTGTTTTTATGATTATAGTTTAATTTTCTGAAATCAATTTTATAGTATTGAAAAACAATTTCACTGAATTTACAATATTCGTATCCTATTTTACTAACAAAACATAATTCTGAAAGTTTTATTTTTATCGAAATATTATTTAATTGATAATGAATTTTACTGATAAGTCATTTCCATTTCACCAAATATTAAAACATAAATGTCTAGAGGCAGTGTTGGCATTGGACATATGTCTACCCATTTTTAATGGCATTGGACTGAACATAGATATTGGACATATACTTGGACATGGTCCAGGTCCAGTATGTCCAATCATCTTATATGGGAAAATTTTTTTAATTATATTAGGAGTTTTAGAATTAATAATTTGTATAATACTATCAAGGTAGAGCTCCGAGATTCGGGTTCGGTCCAGTTTGGGTTTGGCCCAATTGAGGGATTGGATCTCCAAGTAAGGGATTAAAAACCTTCATATGAATTAGAGAGATATATATAAAGGTATAATTTCAGTTCATGAAGTGAAGAATGGTTGTTAGAATGATGATTGATAGTATTAGTATTATTGTAATAATCTGTTGTATTGATTTATGTTAATAAAGAGAAACCTTATACCCTGTAATTATGTGTGTTAGTTTATCAATATAAACAATTTGACTTAATCACTATTTATTTACAAACGAAGCTAAATTGGTTCAAGATTCTACAAAGCACTCCCACCCGGATCATATATATACTAGTAGCTTAATCGGCCCTAGACTAGTTTGTAAACAAACTGAACCCAAACATGTTGCAAAAGTTTGGCTTTGAACTGAACTCAAATGCCTTTTTACATTGGCCTGGTTCAGGTTCGGTCTAAAATTCGAACTCAAACCTGAACTTACACAAAGTCCAGTTTAGTCCGATCTGTAGAAACTCTACGTTAATCATAATACATAATATTATATATTATTATTATTAGACTATGTCCAATGTCCAATACCCTTTGGTCCAATAGATTGGACTGGATTGGACAAGGGTGGTCCAATATCCAGATCCAATGTTTAGGCCCAACACTATCTAGAGGTGATCTGATTAATTACTGATAAGCAATTAAAAGTAAGCAACGAAACTAGTTTTTGTTTAACTTTTGTGTATTAATTGCCCCTTGCTAGTCTATTTTACTGATATGCCATTTTTCCAAATGGTACATTTTTCTGCATTCTATTTCTTTGAATATATTACTAAAAGCTCTTTTACTGAAGGATGTTTTTACCAAATTTACAGCTATTTTATAAATTCTGAATCATCTAATAACCCAAAAAAAGGTATAAATTAATTTCACTACAACTATTTTACTAATAGCCATTTAACTAACAATGTTAGTCTAGTTTATGTTGAGTTGGCCTTTGGTTGTCGGGAAATATTCATTAAAAGCTTTTTTAAAAAAATTAGCTACAGCTTCTGATTTATGCAATTTTGTTCAATCAAGAAGACATCTTGTTAAGAAATTTTTTGATAAATGTCTCTTTAGAAAAACATCTTTTTATTAAAACATCGTTTCAATGAAATATATCAAAATAAAAAGATATTAAAAAAAAATTTGTCTAGTGAACAAGAGTTCGGCAAAAGGTTTTTTTAGTATAAAAGTTTGTCAAATAAAATTTTCAAAATTCAGATCGTTGGAAAAAAAAATTCAGTAAAAAATTTCTATGAGTAAAATATACTAACAGAAATATTTCTTGTTAAGAAAAAGGGATATTGGGATTTTTAGAGTTGGGAAAATGGTATTTAGAAAAGTAGGTTTCAGAAACGAATAACTTAATTTATGCTAGTAATTAAATACTAGTAATTAAATGCGATTAAATGATTAAAAGATATTATAGCTGTTCTTATAAATTCTGGAACAAACTAAAATTGCTAGTTTCCTGAAATCTCTTTGGTTTCGTCCTATGAATTATCTAACTCTCTGGAAAATACATTACTATCTCTGGACTGAAGTTCCGAAATCAACTTTAGGACAAACTGAGAAATGACAATTTTTTAGTTTGTTCCAAAATTTATAAGAACAGCTATAATACGAAGTATAAATTTAAATATTAAATAATACAAATAATTTGGATAAGCTATTTGAATAATAGAATTATGAATAGATACAGATATTGGGTAATATATTTATTTAATAGATTATCTGGAGCTAAATACTAATATAGTTGCATAATTTATATAGCGATAGATTTTTTAATATAATATATTTATTGAAAATATTCTAGTTAGTTGTTTTGGTAATGGAAGTATTTAGATTTGGAACTCGAAAGTCACATTTGGACTGAATTGAATGAGTGTAGTAAGTACACTTTAACTTTATTAAAAATAGAATAGTCTGAACACAGGAATTACTGAATATAATTCTTTATTGGTAATTTACGAGTAAAATTAGACTAAATTAAATAAATTTATATAATAGTACGTATATATTGATACTGAGTGATATTGTGCAAACAGGTAAAAAAAAGCTAATACAAGTATAGTGCATATAAAATATTTATAAATTAGAAATAAATAAAGGGGCCAGAATATTATCTTTAAACAATGTTTGTAATTTCCACTTTGCATCTTTATTTATAGCTAGATGATCTATCTAATTAATTGTATCAATATCATCCATACTAATATTAATTTCATCCAACTATAAGTCTTCATTATCTTGGTTTTCTTCTTTGGATATCATATTTGTCTATTAGCGCATTATTTCATTCCAGCTATCTATAGTAATTATAGACTCACTTTCTTTATCCATGTCTTCATCTGTTTTATCTGCTTCTTTGTCAGAATTGTTATTAGAATTTTTATCAAATGTTGGTAAAGGTGAAGCACTATTATTTTGTTTATACTTGTCTATTAATATTTCAATTTCTTTTAACCAATGATAATAATTCATAGTAGCATAAAGCTGGCTCATTTGAAGTACTTTCTGAGGCTAATTTTTTAGAAAATTTAGTAAGTTTTAAAATATAATAATATTAAAATTATGTAAAATACTAAAATTTAATAAATCTTTAAACGAGATCATGTTTTGTTATATAACCAAACCCATGCAAGAAAAAAGCCTTTCAACAAAGTCAGAATTAATACAAATTTCAAAAATACAGCATGCAATTTTACCTAATTCCTTTGCCGAAGTACTACAATATTCTCAATATCCTATAATATTATTAGCAAATTGGGTTGTAGCACATATAGTAAATGGCTTTTTTTTTTTATGATATTTTTCAAGCTCTGGTAAAAGAGTAAGTGGTTCATCATTAAACTAGTTACAATAATAATAAATAAGCTAGTCACTAAGCTAGAAATAAAGTTATTCATTTGTTGAACTAAACATTAACATTCTATATTCAGAATGAAGGAGAAATGAAAGAAGCAATAAAGGCTGTTCCTATGAATCCCATCAGCGCTCCAATTGACCAATAATACAATTAGCTAATTCTTTATTTGGATAATTTTTATATAAATTTAGTAAATAGGATATGCAATGAAGAACCTCATATAAATGTGCTTTGTCTTGTTGTAACTTATTAAAACATGCACAATAAGGAAGAAGGAGTTGAAAAAGCACTTGAAGTTGCAACTACTAGCTTTCATCATTAATAATATTACATATATTTGCAGGTAAGTAAAGTGTATTAGATTCAATATTTGTAGAAAATTCAAATTTAGCAACTAAGGTCTATATTAGTAGATTTAAAATATAAAATAGAATATGTAATAATTATATTTAAAAATTCTGAAATAAATAATTAAATAATACAAAATATTATATAATATATATAAATTAAACTTACTTTTAATATACTTTTAGACTTAAATAAAGAATTAACACAATAGAAATAGCTATTCCAGCGTACTTCTATAGAACTGGCAAATGAAATAAAATGCTTGTATAATAAATACTGCTCATCATGAAGTTTGCTAATAAAATAGGAATGGTTAGCATTTTTAAAATATTCTACAACTGTAATTGCTGATTTCATTGCTTTATTAAAATCATCGGATTTTTTAAAAATTTCCCCAATACACAAATTAAACTGGTAGGCAAAGCATAGTAAAAAAACTTTATCAGTATAAATTAATCTTAACCGACGTCTATAATAAATAATAATAATAATAATTAATAGTATTATATTTATCTAATTAATAGTATTATATTTATCTAATTAATAGTATTATATATAATTAATAGTTTAAATTTAAATTACCATGAAGCTGCATAGGCTGCATTATTGTCAGTTACAAGTCCTACTATTTTTAAAACATTTCTTCAGTAATTTGCATAATATCTTTATACTTCTTTCTGTACTCACTTATATCAATTGCATTCTATATTAATGCTTCTTTAAGACTGAACCTAATATTTCTTGATTTGTCACATTTTTCTATCCATCAAAAGCAATCATAATTCCGTATGAATCATTATGTGCTTTATCTTGAATATAAGACTTGTTAATTTTGACTGTATTTTTTAAAATACAACTAGCTAACTGCTTTCAACTAGGCAATGTTAAATAAGAATTTAACCACTTATAGTGTGTAATTACACTTTTTTTTCTCTATCTATTTAAATACCTAACCATTTGCTATAGTCATATTTAAAATTTGATTTTTAAATTGAGCTTGTTCTGAGACAGTAAATGTACGAGCAAGAAAATTATTAATTTTAGATTTATTTGCTGATGTATTTTGAATTATATTTTCAATATTATCTTCATCAGAAAATTCTAAAATTATAATTTATTTATATATAATAAATAAAGTATACTATAATAGAAATTTTTTTTTACCTTTATAAAAATCTAAATGTAGTTGTTTTGTTGGCTGATCTTTATTACAGTCAAACCTCCATAAATGCAACCTTCATAAATGCAATACCTCTTTAAATACACATTTTTGGCCTGGCTGTAAGAAATCATTAGTGCTAAATGCATGTTTTATATTCTGCAAATACACATTCACTCAAAAGATTTTCTATATCATACTAACCTCCCTAAATGCATGTAGCCAATCAGAATTCAGTATTAAAGGTGTGTTATACAAGCCTGCAAATCAAATATTAAAAGCTGCAATTTAATTGGCTTTCTCTAAATACAAATCTCTCTAAATACACGATTGAAGCTGGTCTGTACATATTGTATTTATGGAGGTTTGACTGTATTTAAAATATTATTTGCTTGTTCTTTTCCGCCAACTTTATGTATAAACTTTAAGATGATTTTTTGCTAATTTTTTTCTGTTAACAAGTTTAACTTTTCAGAATTTGAAGCTTCAAACCAAGGTTGACAATAACAAAACTTATCACTCGGCTTTATAGGATTAACATATTCATCAGTAGTTATGATATATTCTGTAAGGTAATGTCTTTGTTTTTTTCCAGAATGTTTTTTAGATTGAGGTTTTTTAGTAGCAGCAGACATCATAATTGAAAAAGGATCCATAATAATAATAATATAAAAGGCAGACTTATTATATATATATAAGATTTTTAAAAATAACAAAATTATATAGTGTAAAATATAGTTTTAGTTAATAAAATTATATGTATATATAATATATAAGATACAGTTTTGATTAGTATCAAAGATATAAGTAATAAGTTTTAGAAAAATATAGTAATGTGACAAATTAATTATATCCTTTTCTTTTTAGATATAATTAAATGTTTAATTAAATTAGTATTATATTTCTTAAAGCTATTATATATGCTTACAATAATATTATATTTTTAATTATACAAAATACGGTTTTAATTAATATTAAAACTATAATTATGTAGGTTTTAAAAAAATGCAGTGTAATAAATTAATTATAACTTTTTTGAATATTTTAATCAAATTAGTATCATAATTTTAAAGCCTACTATATAAAGCAAAGTGTATATTAATACAATAGTGTTATACTTTAATTGTACAAAATGCAGTTTTAATTAGTATTAATAATATAAATATATAGGTTTTAAAAAAAATAAGTAGTATAATAAATTAATTTAACTAAATTAGTATTAAATTCTTAATAGCTACTGCATAAAATGAAGTATATACTGATACAATAGTATTATGTTGTTAATTATACAAGATGTAGTTTTAATTAGTATTAAAGATATAAGTATACTGTATAGGTTTTAGATAAATATGGTAGTATAATAAATTAATTATAATCTTTTCTTTATAGATATAATTGGATATTTAACTAAATTAGTATCATAGTTCTTAAAGTTTTCTATATTAAATAATATGCATACTAATATATACAATAGTATTATACTGTATTATACTTTAATTATGCAAAATGTGGTTTCAATTAGTATTATAAATATAAATATTTGTTTTAGAAAAATATACCATATTTATCCAACATGTAGACCCCCTGTGCAATGTATCCTGTAATGATTTTGACAGCCAATTTTTGACTTATATCTGGGTACCTAAGTATGATACTATCATGCTTCTGTACTCAGAAAAACATAATAAAACATATTCATATCCATACAATATATCTCCCATATGTGTACCCGGGGTACTAAAACAGGTTAGGGAAATACCTTGGGTACATATATTGGGGAAATACAGTAATAGTGTAATAATTTAATTATGACCTTTTCTTTTTCAATATAATTAGGCATTTAACTAAATTAGTATTATGATTTTTAAATCATGCTATATAAAACAGTGTATATATTAATACAATAGTGTTGTACTTTTGATTGTGCAAGATGCAGTTTTAATTAGTTTTTTTTTTTTTTGGTATTAAGATGACCTCTTTGGCCTAGAGACTTTTTATTAGAGTATAGATGATGTTTTATAATGTAATTACAATAATGGTACATCAAGCCACACGTGCACTTTTGGTGCCTAATTTAAGCGGTCCACCCGAAACGTTAGTGCTATGCTAAGGGTTCACACTATCTGCCGTACCTGCACCCCAACTATGGAGTACCCATTTAAACCATCTAGTTCTAACTACCATCATCCACCCTCTAACCCATGGATATTACTCACCATTTATACATGGATTTTGCATCTACCCAATTTGGATTTTGCACTCTACCTTAGGACTTACTAACATAAGCTAGTCTATTCTCAAGATAAATCTAACAGAGTGGTACATGTCCTACACATATATTTACTTGCATGTTCCTATAACTTCTTTCTAATTAGTACATATTGGCCTGCTGTTCCATATACGTATCTCATGCCACCTTTTGGGGTGCTGCCATTCTACAGACATTTCTCAAGCACCAACCTTCCTAACTAGATGCTCATTACATACTCCTTGCCCTTATTCGGTTCACAACAACCCCAATACCCACATTTGGACTGTCTTCTTACCCAGATTCTTTACTGGTCCATCTCTTACTTCCAGCCGGCAACTCGGAAAGGTTGGTCTGCCCAGGCTTTAGGTGCCTGAAAAATGCCCTCCTCTTGGTTTATACTTTTGGAGCATATGCTCTTTTCCTCTGGGGCGACAACCTGGCAGTTCAGCTGGTGTGTCCTCCGCTAGTGGACCTGGTCGCTCGGTTCTCTGATCTCGGGCCCTGGTTCGAATTCAGCCCTCCTGTAGTACCATCAAAGATCATTGCTACCTCCAAATTCGGAACTTGCCAAATGAGTTTTCGATTTTGCCGGTTCCTCGGATTTATTGCGCCAAAGCTCCCATTTCTAGATGGTGTGATCAAAGTTACAGATTAAGTTCTGAATCCAACCGATAAGCATAGCCGTCAACCGAACATAGGCCTATTTTTTAAATATCATCGCCAGTGGGATTTGAACTCTAGACCTGCCACTTGGAGAGGGTGACGACTAGACCACTATACTAAGTCACCACACCTAATGCAGTCTTAATTAGTATTAAAGATATAAATATTTAGTTTTAGAAAAATATGGTAGTAATTATAATCTTTTCTTTTTAGATATAATTGGGTGCTTAACTAAATTAGTATTATAATTTTTAAAGCCTACTATATAAAATAAAATATATACTAATACAATAATATTATGTCTTTAATATAATATAGTAAATTTGCTATTGTTGCAGATTAGTTAAAGATTTTTATTACTAAATAGCCCAAATCTTATAGCCAAATATTAATACTCAAGTACTATAGTAAAATCAGGTATTCTAACAAATATAAAATATATTATCAACTAATTAGTTTTATAAAAAAAAATAATTACTAACTTTATTATTTTTGCTTTTCTTTTATATATAATCTTTAACTAATTATATTATATTTTGCTTAATAAATTTAACTACAAATTATTATATGAATTACAATATTTTGACTTTTTAATTTATTATATACTTTTTATATATTATCTATTTAACTTTACTATACTAATTTGTATTACTAATTATTATAATTAATTGGTAATCCACCAGTCAACCAGAGAATGATCATAGTAAAATATGACTCAAATTACTTATAAAAATTGGAGATCTTCAAATGTGGTGTGCGCATATCTAAAACATTTTTTTATACTAAATTAATTACTTTTCTAACTTAAGAGACTTTTGTAGAGCTTGTTAAGACGCATCTAATGGTGGTTAGAGCATCAAAATC